TATGGGGCTAAAGGTGCTATGACCGCCCTGTGACTATCGGGCAATGCGGTTTATGGGACTATAGGTGGTGTGGACGCTGGTGGGTCCAGAGTGTGGATGGACGCTTTTGGGACCAGTGGGGCGAATGACGCTCTTGGGACCAGAGTGGCGATGGACGTTGATGGGACCAGAGGGGGGATGGACCCTGATGGGACCAGAGGGGGTATGGACGCTGATGGGACCAGAGGTGGTATGGACGCTGATGGGACCAGAGGGGGTATGGACGCTGATGGGACCAGAGGGGGTATGGACGCTGATGGGACCAGAGGGGGGATGGACGCTGATGGGACCAGAGGGGGGATGGACGCTGATGGGACCAGAGGGGCTATGGACGCTGATGGGACCAGAGGGGGGATGGACGCTGATGGGACCAGAGGGGGGATGGACGCTGATGGGACCAGAGGGGGGATGGACGCTGATGGGACCAGAGGGGGGATGGACGCTGATGGGACCAGAGGGGCTATGGACTCTGGTGGGACCAGAGGGGGTATGGACGCTGGTGGGACCAGAGGGGGGATGGACGCTGGTGGGACCAGAGGGGGGATGGACGCTGATGGGACCAGAGGGGCTCTGGACTCTGGTGGGACCAGAGGGGCTGGACTGGACCAGATGCACAATCTTTTCCTCATGGTGAGTGAATAATGTGAGGACGTTGGCTATTTTCATCTGATCAGAGAATTATTTTTATTGCTGCTGTTCATATTTATTCTTTTCTCCAAAGTCCACGTACCGGAGTGAATGAGCATGTGCTGCTTCAGGTTCTGAATGCGCGTGAATCGGACTCCGCAGGTAGGACACTGGAAGGGCCGGTCGGGCCCGTTGGTGCCGGGCCGGGCTGAGGGGTTGATGTAGAGGTGGTACGGGTACTGAATACCTTCTAACCTGTAACACAGAGGTCAAAGGTGACGTTCAGAAGGAACCTTGTAACGGCACATTTGAAATCTTTCGCATTTGACTGGACCACCAAAACATGGGCAGGCTGGAAGTGAAGGACAATCGAGCCCCGTTTCTGACCTGTCAATCAGTGTGTAGCCCCGCCCCCCCATCTGATGACAGAACCTCACCGGATGTCTGGTGTCCCACAGTAGATGTTCACACACACTGGATGTATGAAGTGCACGTGGTTTTTCATTGAGTGAACAGGAAGTGACCATATATGGACGTGAGGAGGACGTAGCAACGGCCTATACGTTTCTGACCTGTCGATCAGTGCGTAGCCCCGCCCTAAAGCGTCCCCTGCTTTATGGTCTATTTGTCTCTAAATCGCCCCCTGCTGGTCACTACAGAGAAGTAGAGTCATTTCCTCATAGACGTCTATGGGAGCAGAGGAGTCGCCCCCTGCTGGTCACTACAGAGAAGTAGAGTCATTTCCTCATAGACGTCTATGGGAGCAGAGGAGTCGCCCCCTGCTGGTCACTACAGAGAAGTAGAGTCATTTCCTCATAGACGTCTATGGGAGCAGAGGAGTCGCCCCCTGCTGGTCACTACAGAGAAGTAGAGTCATTTCCTCATAGACGTCTATGGGAGCAGAGGAGTCGCCCCCTGCTGGTCACTACAGAGAAGTAGAGTAATTTCCTCATAGACGTCTATGGGAGCAGAGGAGTCGCCCCCTGCTGGTCACTACACAGAAGTAGAGTCATTTCCTCATAGACGTCTATGGGAGCAGAGGAGTCGCCCCCTGCTGGTCACTACAGAGAAGTAGAGTCATTTCCTCATAGACGTCTATGGGAGCAGAGGAGTCGCCCCCTGCTGGTCACTACAGAGAAGTAGAGTCATTTCCTCATAGACGTCTATGGGAGCAGAGGAGTCGCCCCCTGCGCGCTGCACTCCAGGACACAACAAAGTGCCGTACATCTGGTCATCGTAGCAGAGTCCTCCGCGGCTGGAGGTGCTCTGCAAGGAATGAAGGCCCTCCGACACGCCCTCGTCCCATGGACCCTGGGAGGGAGACGGGACTCGTTACATGTGCAAATATATGGAGGTCTTTGATCCCACTTTTGGGGATCGATGGCGCGACATTCCAGCTCCCCGTCTGCTTCTCGTCGCTTGCACGACAGAATTGTTTTAAAAAAAGCTCTGACAACGTTTACATGCACCAAATATTCCACTTTTTATGAAAAGGCCAATAAGCCTACAAAGCTGATTCCTCCCCAAATGGAAACAAAGTCGGACGTTCACACTCTGACTAAAGTAACCTGTGGGTATCTGTATACAGTATCTGTATACAGTATATATACACATACAGTAAATGTATACTGTTTCTAGAAAACATTTTCATAGAGATGAGCTTTTATGATAAAATAAAAAAGGGCACTGAGCTTCTGTATCGACAACACTTTCCAACAATGGTGGCAGATAGAGAAAGATAAAGATCCTGTGATGTCCTGAGAGGTTTGGTCCTCAATGGGAGCTACATTCCAGAACTACAACTCCCAAAGCCGGCAAGGCAGCGCCCAGCTGAAGGCAGTGATGCTGATTGACGTGTTTGCAGAGCAGAAAAGGAGCTAGAATTAGTCAGTAGCGACTTTTTTTAAACGCGATTTACGTTTACGTTTTTGTCTTTATTTTGGGCACCCACCCCTCACCTCACAATGTGGACTCATTAGTGACCCGGTGATGTCATACGCATGTGGACTGATGTGATCTTCGTCTTCGGGAGGCAACACAAACAACCTCAACCTGGGACGAAAAACGCGCTGCTCGCTGCACCGGAGAACCCTCGCTTGCTGAGCTACGATTGGACCAGCCACAGGGGCGGGGCTAAGTGGTCGAACCTTAAGGAGGGTTACAGCGACCTCACCTATAGAGGAGGACTGAGGACTGATGAGCAGCTCCTCCTGGACCTGCTCGCTGCCCGGCACCGTCTGCTGGTCGCTCAGCGAGCTCTGCGAGGCGCTGACCGGCTGCGACGACGCCTCCTGCACCTCCTCGTCGCTGAGCCGCTCCACCTTCACCCTCACGTCCTCCTCCCCCACCGCCGCCGCCACCTTGGAGCTCTCGCACGTCAGGAAGTCGCTGAGCCGCCGGCCCGCCGCCGCCGCCTCGCCGGCCCCCGCGGCGCCCTGCTCCAGGCAGCGGGGGCTCTCGGGGAGCTTCGGCTTGTCCGAGTGGAACCTCCGGTCGATGCCGAAGGGGAAGGTCCAGGGGAAGGCCAGGGAGGACTCCACGGGCGGGGCCGCGCCATCCGAGAAGGAGGGGGACGGGTTGGGGATCTGAGGGGAGGTGGTGACCATCTGCGCCGTGCATTTGAGCGGGCTCTCGGGGGACGCCATGGTGGCGAAGCTTTTGCGTTTCCGCCGCGACTCGCGGCAGGTGGGGACGTTCCTCTCCATCACGCTGCAGTCGGAGGACACGGGGGACACACTGCCGTCCAGCGGCGTCAGGGCGCAGTGCGACGAGGCGCCCTCCGCCGCCGCCTCCTGCGGCTTGTCCGCTGCCATGCTGTTGATGTTATTGTTGTTGGCCCTGCTGCCGCCGCCGCCGCCAGGGCCCCACAGGATGCTGGACTTCATGAACTCAGAACACGTGCTGGCCACGGCGAACATCTGCATGTAGCTGGCGGCCGCCAGCACGTCGATGATGTTCTCCGTGCTGATGGAGAGGGTGGAGGTGTAGGCGTACTCCAGCAGGGGGGCGAAGCCGCTGACGGTGACGTGGTGAAGATCCAGCACGAACTTGTCCTCCTCCTCGGGCCGGCCCACCAGCTTGGAGCGGAAGAACTCGCTGCAGCAGGCCAGCACCACTTTGTGGGCCAGGAAGAGCTTGTCCTGGACCCGGATGGTGACGTCGCACAGGTGGCCCTGGCTGCGCAGCGCGTTGAGCTTCTCCAGCATCTCCTGGCTGTGGGAGGGGGAGCTGTGGGTGAAGGTTTTAACCCCCATGGTGGAAGCGGGTTGGGGCCTCGTACAGGAAATGCCTCCTGCAGAGAAAAAAAAACTTTTCAGTTTACAAAAAATAAGACTGCATGAGTTGTCAAATTATTTAAATGAGCATCATCTGTATTGAAGAAGACTTGGAACTAGAGACTGAGACCATAAACTCATGTTTACTGGGGGAATAAACCAAGAGAGAAGAAGAGTCATTTTCTCATAGACGTCTATGGGAGCAGAGGAGTCGCCCCCTGCTGGTCACTACAGAGAAGTAGAGTCATTTCCTCATAGACGTCTATGGGAGCAGAGGAGTCGCCCCCTGCTGGTCACTACAGAGAAGTAGAGTCATTTCCTCATAGACGTCTATGGGAGCAGAGGAGTCGCCCCCTGCTGGTCACTACAGAGAAGTAGAGTCATTTCCTCATAGACGTCTATGGGAGCAGAAGAGTCGCCCCCTGCTGGTCACTACAGAGAAGTAGAGTCATTTCCTCATAGACGTCTATGGGAGCAGAGGAGTCGCCCCCTGCTGGTCACTACAGAGAAGTAGAGTCATTTCCTCATAGACGTCTATGGGAGCAGAGGAGTCGCCCCCTGCTGGTCACTACAGAGAAGTAGAGTCATTTCCTCATAGACGTCTATGGGAGCAGAGGAGTCGCCCCCTGCTGGTCACTACAGAGAAGTAGAGTCATTTCCTCATAGACGTCTATGGGAGCAGAGGAGTCGCCCCCTGCTGGTCACTACAGAGAAGTAGAGTCATTTCCTCATAGACGTCTATGGGAGCAGAGGAGTCGCCCCCTGCTGGTCACTACAAAGAAGAAGAGTCTTTTCCTATATAGACGTCTATGGGAGCAGAGGAGTCGCCCCCTGCTGGTCACTGCACAGAATGCAGCTTTATACACGTGACTGAAGCATTGACTGAACTTTAAGGAACTGGAAGTTGTCTGCTTTAGTTTCACAGTAAAACAGAATGCTTTAGGGCGGGGCTACATGCAGATGGACAGGGAGCACGGAGGACAAAATGTTATGTAACAACAATCAAAGCAGATGCGCAGCGATGCGAGCCAGACATGCGTGGAGGCCAGCGCACTACAGGGCGCTCAGCAGCTGTCTGCGAGACATGTGGATCCTCAGGCATGAGATTTTCCATCAGACAAAAGCTCTGGTGAGGGGGGCTCTCGCAGGGAGACAGCGCACCCCCCCCCCCACACTACTACTCCTGGGCTACGTTGGCCTGGTAACAGCAAAGTGAGAGACCTGGGCAAGTAGAAGAAGACCCGATCTGAACGGGCAAAACGGAGGGGGGGGGTAGGGGGGTAAATTCCACCGCGGGGTTTCATAAAGGCTTCGATGTCTCCTGTAGTTATTGAGCTATGTCATCTTCAGAATACGGGGTGAGTGATGACGCAAACGTCGAATACTGATATTAAAACTAAACCGTCAGATTACTTCTATAAGAGAGGATACACAAAATGATTCTGCAGAATTTAGTTGAAAAAACAAACTTGTACTGCTTTGTCTTTTCACAGTCTAAATCTGGGTCAAACGCCTCGTTAAAAATGTGCTGGCTCAAAGAAGTTACACGTCCAATATTATTTTATTAGTCCCACAGCAGGGAGATCAGCAGCACAGTAGAAAGTGAAACGGTGGACGGTTAATGCCGAGTGGGGTAAAAAGGAGGAATAAAAGCCAAAAGCATGATTTAATGAAGAATGAGAATATGCATTATGGCACATGTGTGTGTAATACATTTCATCGTATTGTTTAGCTCCTCAAATGCTAAGATGTGTTGACTTTGTTGTGTTGTTTGGACAACGTGTTACTATTTGTAGTACTTGTTACTACTTGCACTATTTGTATATGATTGTACATGGATCAAGTTATTGATGGATGACTTCAAATCACGACAGAACTCACTCGTGATATTATGGGGAAGGGGGCGTGGCCTGCTACTTATACGATGTTTACATCACCTAAACAAGCGCACGCGAGCCGTAAACAGGTCCTCGGCTGTCAGTCCACGTGCACGCGGGTAGCAGGCAAGGTGGGTTTTCGTGCACGGCTTCGGGGGGCACGTGTCTGCTGTTAAAACAGGACGAACAAGTCTGAAACATCGACCACGGTTTGGCAAAGACTAGCTAGCTTGCTGGTGCGTCGAGCCAGCGAGGAGAGGACACGCGCATCCGCTTTCAACTGCCAAAGTAAAAGGGCAGGGGTTGCACGACGGTAACTTAGTTATTTTAAGATCGTCGTGTTCACACAAGCATATGCTACACGTTTAGTTTTAGCTGCACTGGCGTGTAACCAGTACCATACAGAAAACAAAATGCCAATAAAAATGAGAAAGGAAATACCAATTTCAATCCCCCTCTTTTATTTTGAAGGAATTTGCCTCTTTTCCGGTTCAACCCTGGACGCGTCGACGCAGCTCGTAATAAGTGTTAGCTGCTAGGCTAGCCGACACAACACGATACCACCAGTTGGTTCCATTTCCTCTATCGACACTCTGAAAACAGCGCGGCCGTATTGCTGTACACACGGCGCGGGGAGGAGGGGAGGAGGGGACGGGCCGTGCGAAGGGGGGGCATTACCTTGTGGCGATGAGGCCCGTGAGGGCGGCAGGGCCTCGGGATGCGAACGGTTCGGCTGACACACACGCACGCGCGCGCGCGCACACACACACACGTACACAAAGGAGCCAGCAGCGATGGTCGGAGACAGCGGTGCGCCCCTGCCGCTTCCCCGCTCCGATCACTCACATTCCCCGCGCGTCTCGGGCAGTTTGTCCGCCAAAAAAACACCCACGGTCGAAAGAACGGCGCGTTGTATTCTCATCCCAGCGGAGGGGTTCAGCGCCAGTTTGTATCCCGCAAAAGCTTGTTTTGCATTCTTTAGTGCTCCCCGTTGTCCCCTTTTATTTTTCTGCGCTGTATTTGTATCCCCACAATGCACCGCGCATCTCTCACGGTGCCGTACAGTAAGAAGCCGGAAGTGTCACGTTGGTTTCTATATTCATCTGATTTATCTAACTAATCTAACAGCAACACGCACAACTCTGTTTATGTGCCAATTTTACCTATTGTAGTTGAATATTTTACTTTATTTTATTGGATATATTTATTACATATGTGTGTTTCTAACTTCGTTTTTCTATTCTGTTGTAATCTTTGAAATAGTAACAGAAGTTTGGTTGTAATAAGGTTGTAACTGTTCTTGTATTATTTTATAGATTCTCTTGGAAAACACACTTTATAGCTCACTTCTACGCCACACTCTTTTTACTGATTGTATATTGTGTCCACCTTGTTTCTTGTGCACTATAAATACTTTACTCTTTAACCATTTTCATTTGAGGATTGCATGAATTATGTTCCATCTTTAAGACAAAGACTCACTTTATAGTATTTCATTTAATGCAACCATTATCTTAGATGAGGGGATTTTTTGTCTATAACACCTTTTTACTTTATCTGCATCATCCCTAGTTTTAAAAGCTCAAAGAATCACAATATCACGTCAACAACGATGTGGAAAACATGGAAGAGTTACTGTTTGTTGTTCGGGTCATTATCTTAGTGTGTTAGTACTTACCAGCCGGGACAAGAAGATCCTTGAGAAAATGAAATGGCTTGTTCAAAAATAACAGAAAAAATAGTTATTGTTGACATAAATGTGTTTATTGGACCATTTTTATAGGCAAAAATCCCAAAGACAGCAGCGTCTTGCATGTTAATTACTCATCCAAATATTACAAAAATAAATAGCTTAAGCTGTAGTTCTAACATAGCATGGTCCTTCATTGAAGGGATATAAGCCTAACGCTCCATCTATTTTGTTTCATAACAATGTAAATTAACAGGAATGAAGATACCAAATATACAAACACGATTCTGATGAAAGGTCTTTTTTTTACAAATGATGCCGTAACACACAAAAGTCTGGAAATAAAATGACTTATTTTTTCATGAAGACGATAAATAGTTTGCTTTTCACTTTAACGTGGCACCATGAGTGTGTGGGCGTGTTATTAGTGTGCTGTGATGGACAGCAGGTTTCATGCCAATAAGCTCAAAACGTTAGCCGACCCAGAGAGACGTACTGCAGAGATTCTCTTTCTAGACAAACACACACTCACACACATGCACACACACACACACACACACACGCTAACAAGCATCTATACAAAGCATCACATCCAGAGTGAGGTAGATTTCCATGTTTTTTCAAATCGTAATAGTGGTTGTTAAATGTTAAATGTCAACAAGATGAATACTCGGTGGTTTTAATCCGTCTCTTTGCAGTCATGTTGTCTCTTTGCAGTCATGTTGTGTGTCTTTGCAGTCATGTTGTGTGTCTTTGCAGTCATGTTTTGTGTCTTTGCAGTCATATTGTCTCTTTGCAGTCATATTGTCTCTTTGCAGTCATGTTGTGTCTCTTTTCAGTGATATTGTCTCTTTGCAGTCATGTTGTGTCTCTTTGCAGTCATGTGTCTCTTTGCAGTCATATTGTCTCTTTGCAGTCATGTTGTCTCTTTGCAGTCATGTTGTCTCTTTGCAGTCATGTTGTCTCTTTGCAGTCATGTTGTGTCTCTTTGCAGTCATGTTGTGTCTCTTTGCAGTCATGTTGTGTGTCTTTGCAGTCATGTTGTGTGTCTTTGCAGTCATGTTGTGTGTCTTTGCAGTCATGTTGTGTCTCTTTGCAGTCATGTTGTGTCTCTTTGCAGTTATGTTGTGTCTCTTTGCAGTTATGTTGTGTGTCTTTGCAGTCATGTTGTGTGTCTTTGCAGTCATGTTGTGTGTCTTTGCAGTCATATTGTCTCTTTGCAGTCATGTTGTGTGTCTCGTTGCAGTCATGTTGTCTCTTTGCATGTTGTGTCTCCATCCCTGACACAGCCTGTGTCCGGCGTGTCCATTCAGTAATCCGTCCATAGTTGGTGCGCAGTGGGAAAGCTGGCTATTCTTGCGTTCTTCACGAGCACTCCGGGTTGAGACATTCTCCAGAGACGGGCTCTGGGACTTTGGTGGAGTCGCACTTCTCCGGTCCGACGGTCTTCCCCGTGTAGTCTATGCAGAAGACGCTGCGACGGCGCTCGCCCTGGCCACAAGTTCTCGAGCAGACGGACCACGGCCCCATCTGCCACATGGGGCACGGCAGGTCCCCGCAGGGCCGGATGTCCCCGGGCTTCAGGTCTCGGTCGCAGTGGTCAGACGGGAAGCCCGCGCCGTCCCGGCACTCCACGCTCCTCCTGGACCAGCCGGAGCCGCAGCTCTTGGAGCACTCGGACCACTCCCCCAGCTGCCAGCCGGCCACGCCCAACGGGTGGACGGCGTGCGGGGACGGCGATGAGCTCTTCCTCTCCTTGGACCTGTTGAAGGTCGCGTCCCGGGGGATGAAGAAGGTGTATTTGACCTTGGGCGGGTTGGCGTCCCCGGCGGTGGCCAGGAGCTGGATGGTGAGGACCTCCCTCAGCCCCCTGAAGCTCTGGATCCTCTCCAGCGTGGTGGAGGAGCCGCTGTACTTCAGCACGGCGCCCAGCACGGGAATGTCCTGCTCCACCGTGGACACGGAGAAGTTTCCGTTGAGGATGTAGCCGCCGCTCTCCCTCTTTATGGCCAGGTAGTTCCCATCGTGTTTGATTCCCCCGTGGCTCCGCTGCTTGATGTCAATGTTTGTGGCGCCAACGGGGATCGTGACGATGTCGCTGTACCCAAAACTGGAGGAGAAAAAAGAACAACGAAGGTGAGCGAGATGATGACAACGCTCTGTTACCTTACTTCAACTTTCCTTACCCTACTTTTTCATTGCTTCATTCTAGTGAGCTCAGCTTGCTCGAATGCTCAAAGACGTGCCCATTCAAGGCGGCGTGCTGAAACCCGTTGGTTTTCCTGTCAAGTATTTAAGTAAAAAGTGTTGCAGGAGTTCCGTCTCGTCCGACTCTCCCGTCTCCGGTTACTGGCTTTTAATAAACCGACAGGAAGCAGTTTGGAATCTTGTCATCTCACTCGAGCCAAACTTCCCAAGCTGTTGCTTTAACGCATTTTATTAACATGTGTAATATTGATTCTTGTGTTTTTTTAATATTGCACAGATTCTAGAAGAAACACTGCATCAGTTTCATTTTAAAAGTTTGACATGCAGAGATTTGCAGCAGCTCAGACACATTGTAATAAATGCACATGCCAACTTTTTTTTACTCAGACTTTATGCATTTATGTTCTCTACACTTTGAGTAACATTGGATTATATTTACATCATATGCCCATATCCTGAACCTCTGCATCATGATACCTATTGTCAGGATACTGACAACCGCTATGCACGCTAAGCTAGGCTAATCGCCTCAGTTCTAGAAATTCTATTGGATTTCCATCATCTCTGTTTTGGGGCTGCAGGTTGTGGACAGTGAAGGACTTTCTCTTCCAGAGGATAAAAACACTGGACCTGAAGTGCGTGTGAGCTGCTTGTCTTGGCATCAGAGAGTCACCGAGCACAAACTGGGAAATGGAAATCACACTGATTGAATGGAACGTCTGGGGTCGTCGATTTACTAACTCCCACACTAAATACAATTAGAGTTTTTCAATATGTTCCTTTTTGCTCTGGTGGCTCCACAACCTTCCCATGGAGGAGAGGAAGCGAGGCTTTTCCGTGCTGCAATCGCCCATCAGGTTATGATCAAACTGAAGAGAGGCTCAAATATGCGTTTACAGCTGATTTAATCAGTGGCTGCAGATGGGCACGATAGCTCGCAGCGCAGTGCTGAGCACGATTAGCACAGCAAACCTCTGCAGTGCTTTTATTACACTCTGCAGCCGACGGGCACAAAATGCACAAATGCATCTTGGCTCGTGGGGGCTGATTGCGTCGCTTATCGCTTACGTGGCTTTGTTGTAGGAGCCCGTGATCTTCCTGCAGGTGAGCCCGCTGCCTCCGCACACCCCGCACTTGTCCACCCTCTTGTTGGAGCCGATCACCTGGTCGCAGCCGGCCTTCACACACTGGCCCTGGACGCACACCGACGTGGTGTCGGGGCCGCAGGTCGTCCCGTCGATCACCTGCAGGGACACGTTATGCAAACTCGTGTGACGCTTCGAGATTATGTGTCATCATTAATGCAAATATAGAGCTGCAGCAATATAAAATAACAACAATGGCTAGCACTATTAGCTTACTGTCGAACTAGCTGGCTAGCTAGCTAGCTTGAATTCTCCGCTGTGAGCATGTGTGGCGTTGTGTGTTGTGTGTCACTTTAAAGTGAGAGTAATATAATCGTAGATACAGTTAATCCTCTGCATGAAAACATGCTTGTACGGTTTAAGCTACGATAATTAACTACTAGCAGCTTCTGTGTATTGTATTATTGAGGAAGCTGTTGTGAGATCGACGTAGAAAAATGTACTTTTACAGCAATTAAAGTGCATGTTTGTGTAAAACATTGAACAAAAAGACACATTGTTCCTTTTAAAGGGTGCTAAGTGGTGTTCTTCATCCAACTACAAACACTTTTTTTTATAAATTCACTAGGATTGGGGAGCGTCAGATCAACATTTCGGGGAGGGGGTCAGATGAAATGAGAAACAGGGGTTCAGACGAGTTCTACCTTGGACTCGAACACCTTGAATTCACTGCTGCCTCTGGCCCTGCAGAAGAGCTTGCACCGGTCCCGGGGGGAGACGCCGGCGTACTTTGGGATCCACTGTTTGACGTTGCCGCTGAAGTCCAGGTAGCTGGGGCTGTGGTACTTCTCACACTGCTCCTCTCTGAAGCTCTTCCCTGGGTAGGTACAAGGTGGAGGGAGGTTTGGCATTCAAAAGGTCACCACTTTAAAGTCTAATCATCTAATCTCAGTAAAGTTACCAAATTAAGCTGCACTACCAGATATCATTATTTTAAAATGGTGCAATATGTTCAAGGTGTGTACTCCAATATTGGTATTCAAATATCTATTCTTAGACATTTTGACAATATGTTTAGATGGATTAACTGAATTAATATAATTCCATTCATTAATTGAAATTAATTTATTTGTCAATTTGTTAGCAGCTACTTTGATAATCGATTCCTCTTCTTGCTTAATCTTTGTTGCAAAACCATCAAATATTACCGTTAACTGATCCTGTATTTGTCAGACTTTAAATTTGATTCGATTTGGTTTATTTTTTTAAATGTTCGCACAACAGTAAAATGAGTGGAAAACTGTGGGATATTTGAATTATTTAAACCTTTTTTGACGGGCTCCATGGCTTCCAACCAGAGAACAGGAAGTGACCAAAGTGAGGTAGAAACGCTGAATCTATCTCTAATAGAGACCTGTCAATCAGCGTGGAGCCCCGCCCTAAAGCATCCTCTGCTTCATGGTCTGTTTGACTTGACGGCAAGTCATCTTCTCATAGACTTCTATGGGACCAGATGAGTCGACTCCTGCTGGTCAGCAGAGAGAATGCAGCTTTAGCACATTTTAAATAGTCACCGTCGTTGTCGCCACAGGGATGCGTGTTGCAGGACTGGTACTGGAGCCTCTGTCCCTCGCAGTACCTCCCGCCGTTCAGAGGCACCGGGTCGGCGCACTCCCTGTCCGAGAACTCCACCCCGCCGCCGCAGGTTCTGGAGCAGCGCTGCCACGGACCCCACGAGCTCCAGCCGCCATCCACAGCCACCTGCCGTTAGAAAATAAATAACATAAAAAGCCACACGGCGAGGGAGGTGGGGGGGGGGGTTTGGGTCGGAGCAGTCAAGAGCAGTCGGTCGGTCAGCGCTCGGTGCCAAAGGCAATGTGAGCCGCGCTGCCTGAAACCGCAGTCTGGATTTCTGGGTCAGGCCGCACAGCGCGCTCAGGGGCTAAATGCGTGTTGAAGTTCGGCACGCGACCGCTGTCTGGCTCTACCCACACATTCCTGCCACATGTGTCACTCACCGCCGCTGGAACCTGCCGGGCTGCTGCTTTGTGAGGCACGATGTGTGTGTGTGTGTGTGTTTGCTAGCGTGAGCGTCCTTTCCAGAAACGTTTTACGAGTTTGGAGCGGCTAACGTCACGGCTGCCAGCACGTCTGGATTCATAAACAGATGGGCGATCATTCCTCCGCGAGAAGATATCATCACGTTTAAGTAAACACAAAGAGGCGTCTAAGGAGCCGTAATCCATGCAACTACTACGCCAGAAGCCATTCATGCGTTCTACTTCTGCTCACGTCTGCGATGCTGAAAATTCTACATCTGCCCGATTCAGGAGACATTATTTGCTTCAGTTCCGTGGCCTTGGTTTTTTTCCTCACACAGCAGATTTGCGATGGAAGTTTTGTGTGCGTTGTTTGTGGGTAAAAGGGATCAAACTGTTTGTGTCACACAATCTGACTGTGCAGATCAAGAGATGCCCGCCGACGCATTCAACTTTACGGAAACAAAGACGCGTCCTCACCGGCAGCTCGCTGGCCTCGCGGGTCGCCAGGCAGGCCCCGCGGAGGCAGGTGCCGTTGAGGCCGCAGGGCGTGCCGTCGGCCCACGGCAGGCTGCCGTTCCTGGTGGAGCACTGCGGCGTGCCGTCCTCCTGGCACCACAGCTGGCTGCAGGCGTCGCTGTCCGAGGAGTTGGGGCACTGGACGAAGTCCTCTCCGAACATCTGCTGGCACTGCTGGTCCAGGCCGTACCTGGCGCCCGGCGGCTCCCCGGGTAGTGGCATGGCGGCCTCCGGGACGTCCAGCAGGCAGTCTCCTGTTGGCGCAGAGCAGAGCGAAGCGCTGTGTGAAAGGGGGGGTCGGTCTCCGAGCAGTGGCAACAGCGGAAAAGGTTTTCAGGGCAATAAAAAAAGGGATATTTTAAATCTATTTAGGGGGGGTTTTATTGTCAATGAGCTCTCAGTCAGGACGGCTGTTCAACGAGAATCTATTATTCTTCCCCCAATGATTCCTCACTACGTTCAATACGCTTTTGTCTGGAGTCGCCGATGAGGACTGCGTTGCTTCGGAATGCAACACACATCTTTTTCTTTCTTCAAGCCAATAAGGAACATATTTCGCTGACACCAGATGTTGCTTTTGGCCGAGAAGGGGGGGGGGAGAACCGGAAGGAGTCCACTAGCCTCGCTCATCTGGCGAGGAGATGCACAACGTGACACGAGGGCGAGGGAGGGAGCGCGGTACAAAGATAAACCATCTCCGCAACCTCTGAAGCACGGAGGAACAACACAGCGCCCTCGCCACCTGTGGATCGGCCCCGATGACGAAAGGAGGACCTGGAGCGCCTTCCCTACCGTGTCCGTTGTCGAAGAACTCCGTGACGTAGAGGGCGCTGCAGGGAGACCACGGCGCCGACTTGTTGAGGCTGACGAACAGAGGAGCCATGAGAAAATGTCCGCCCAGGTCTCCAAACAGCCTCTCGCAGGTCTTGGAGTCGTCGTGGGGCATGCTCAACACGTGACCTGCGGGGTCGGGGGTCGGGGGTCGGGGGGGGAGAAGGCGGAGCTGATGGAACACGCGCTTGCAGGTACAACTCGCTGCACGCGGATGGCAGAAGGGCGCAGGCCTACCGAGCTCGTGCGCGGCGGTGAAGGCCGCCTGCAGGCCGTTGTCCTCGATGACCAAGCAGCTCCTCTTGGGGTCGCACATCGTCCCCACGTCGGCCACGCCCAGCGTGTCGCAGCTCTTCTGTCCGCAGATGTCCTGCAAACACAGACAAACGCGCTGAGACCGGAAAACACCGACCGGACCATACCGAGGTAAAGACCCCCCCCCCCTAAAGCATACCCTATCGACCATCATTTACTAAATGAACGCCATGCTGTACTGAAGAAGAATTGTAACTCATCTGTGGCCGGATACCGTGTTCTAACCGCTGCTTGGAAACAGCCGGCAGAGTCCAACACATTATTCTGTCAAACGGGAATTCTATCGACCTCATGGGCAGCGAATGCACCACGAAGGCTTCACTCTCTGCTTGTGCCCACTAGTTTAAAGTCAAATGCCAAACGTGTTGCTCTGTGTTTCCATCATAAAAGAAAACAAATAAATATCCTCAACATGCAGCCGTCCAGAGCTGCAGATTCACACGCCACTGAATCCGTCCCGTGTGAGACAAGGACAGTGTGAGACAAGGACAGTGTGAGGGCCACGCATGACAAAAGGTCTTCAGGGCCACGACAGTCGGGACCAGAGCCGAGCTGACCGCTCGAAGCCTCTCGGTCGTGTCCGGGTCTGATTTGTGGCGGCACTAAAGTCAGCTCGTCCCCGAGGAGCCGTCCGTCCTCCACATCTCGGGGGGCACCTCTCGGCCCGAGCGGAAAAACAAGTAAACCGCTTCCACCGGGGCCTCGAACCAAGACCGCGTTGGGCCATGTGCTGTGCTCATCATGTCCCTGACCCAGGGTCAGATCTACACGTGGATGGACGGGTGCCGAGCTGGTCCTGGGGTCAATGCGGTGACCGGGGCAGAATGTGAGACGATGGGAGTCGCGCGTAGCGGCGCCCACACCTGGCCAACGCACCTGGGACGCCAGAACGAGGCGATCGCAGCCTGAAGCTCCTGTCGGAGGACCCATAAAGGACAGTTTGTTTGCTTTGAGTTGACATTTCCTCCGCATGGAAAAGCTTTCGGGTATTCCAAGGTTCCCTCTCAGCGTCCTCACGAGAACACGCGTGCCCTCTGAGCCCACACACGCGTGTTCCCAAAGAAGAACTATGGATGGCATCCTCTCTCTTCTTCCAGCTGGGGCCCCACAATGTGTCACTGAACACTCGCAGCTCAGGTACCACATCGTGTACTGCGGCCGGCCCGGGTCGGACTTCCTTCTGGCCTCGGTTATTGACTCGTGGATGGAGAGAATATCCCGGCCTACCGCGGCGGACTCGACATTAAGATCAAAGCCACATCAAATACAATTGATGAGATGATTTTTCTTTCAAGAAGACATTAAAACAGAATTCAATTGAAATGCCAATAGTTTTGTTCAGGCAACAATACCATGAAAAGGGTTCGGTCCTCCACCTCTTTTTAGATATTATGGGTCA